AAGCTCAATGAGGCAGAATGGGTCCAAGCTAGGTATGACCAGTTGAATTTGATTGAAGAAAAGGTATTGAAAGCTATTTGTCATGGTCAGATATACCAAAAACGTATGATACGGGCACATGGTAAGAAAGTTCGCCTTCGAGAATTCCATGAGGGAGATTTGGTGCTTAAAAGGATTTTACCTGTTCAGAAGGATTTCCGAGGAAAATAGATGCCCAATTGGGAAGGACCTTATGTTGTCAAGAAAGCCTTTTCTGGAGGAGCTCTAGTCCTAACTGAAATGGACGGATCAGAATTACCATATCCAATGAATTCTGACGCTGTTAAGAGATATTTCGCTTGAAGAAGAAATAAAAGAGAAAAAAAAAAATGAAAAAATAATAATAAAAATGAGAAGAAGAAAAAGAAGAAAAAAATGAGAAAAAAGGAAAATGATGGAAAACACGAAAAGAAAAAAAAGAAGAAAAAATGGAAAATGAAAAAAGAGAAAAATGAAAAAAAGAGAAATAAAAGAGAGTTCAAGATGAAAACCCGAAAAGACGTCTTGGAACCAAATGAGGTCTTAAGTTGAAAACCCACAAAGGGCGACTTGAGTTGAATTTGAAATTCAGAATTCGCGCATGGTGGAGGTTCTGAATCAATTTTGGAAGTGGAAAGAGCTCCTGATATGGATAGTAACAATGACAGTTGGTGATCAGGGATGAGACTAAAGATTAATGAGTCTCGATTGAAATAACCAAGAGAAATTGAATGCACATGAGATTCAATACTGGTTTAGGGCATCCAATGATAGAGATTTGGGAGTTTAGAAGTAGCTTCATACTCTTAAACATCACAATTTTGGAGATCTTTTAGACAGAAGCTACACTCGAGACATTCTAACGGTGTGCCAGTTCAAAAGCATTTGCATTATTGATATTTGAAGACGCCTACTCTTTTGTTTTTATACTGTTTCCAGTTAAAAGTTTGCCATTTAGTTGCCTAAAATTCTCTGTATTTATATAAATAAAGAGATGTCTTTCCTTGTTCGTTTCCCTTTTGTAAGCATCTTATTTTGAAAAGTTAAAACATATAGCTTAACTTGAAGTACATGAGATCATTTTGTATTATTGTGTAAAAGGTTTTGGAAAATGCAGGTATTCTGAAGTTGACAATGGTTTAAACATGTAAGCTTGTGTGGCTACGGGAAGCTAAAACATTGGAATTCATAGAAAATCTCAGCCATGATAAGAAGACCCAAAGAGATTGCCATTGGTCAAGAAGTTGGTCATGGGTACTGGCGGGTTTCAAGAAAGGAAAGAGTCAAGGTTCTGTTAAGTCGAGAGATACGAAATTGAGGTTGTTAACTGGGGTGAATTGGTCAAATGTTCTGTACCCAAGATGAAACCGAGTTCTATCGAGATCAAAAGGAGATAGAGTTCCTTCGAAGAAGAAAACACACTGAATTGCATAATTGCATACATTTTAGGCATGATTAGGATCATAACATTCATAATTGCATGATGACTTAAGCAGTTACAGGTTTTCCAGGGATAGTTGAAGATATTGAAGCATCGAGATGAACATAACTGGTTTGGAGATTTTGAAAAGAATGATGTTTATACGAAAACTGAGCCAAAGCAGATTCACGTATCCAATGGTTTCCAGACAAGTTTTCGCGATGGAGATGGATTTTCAGAAATGTTGACCTTTGAAACAAGTCATTCTTAAGCCTTCACGAAAGAGCAGTGAAGCAATCATCATAAGCCTTCAAGGAAGAGTAGTGAAGCAAACTCATTTTATGAAGATCGAGTTCTATACTCTCTAAAGGAATAGAGAGCGGACTCGTTTTATGAAGATTGTTCGAGTTCTATACTCTCTGAATGAATAGAGAGCGGACCCGTTTTATGAAGATTATTCGAGTTCTATACTCTCTAAAGGAATAGAGAGCGGACTCGTTTTATGAAGATTGTTCGAGTTCTATACTCTCTGAAGGAATAGAGAGCAGACCCGTTTTATGAAGATTCTTCGAGTTCTATACTCTCTGAAGGAAAAGAGAGCGGACCCGTTTTATGAAGATTGTTCGAGTTCTATACTCCCTGAATGAATAGGGAACAGACCCGTTTGTTGAAGATTGTTCGAGTTCTATACTCTTGAAGGAATAGAGAGCGGACCCGTTTTATGAAGATTGTTCGAGTTCTATACTCCCTGGATGAATAGGGAGCGGACCCGTTTATTGAAGATTATTCGAGTCTTATACTCCCTGAATGAATAGGGAGCAGACACATTTTTCGAAGATTGTTCGAGTCTTATACTCCTTGAAAGAATAGGGAGCGGACCCGCCATTTGAAGATTTTTCAAGTTTCATTTATCCCGAAGTAACAGTAGAGATCTTTAATCTTTTGAAGTTCTCAGGACCGGAAAAACTCGATCATCTTTTGATCTTTGCTTTATTCTCGTTATATGACAATGAGCAAAGAGGGGCAGCTGTAGATGCTCGATTTCGTCGAGGGCTTTATCGGAGGCTTCGTATCCAGCTAACGATACAAATTTGGACCAGTAGGATCACAAATCAGCCCAAAACAGCAGTGTTGATTGGAGACTTCAGTCACGTGAAGTCCTGCACAACAAGAACATTTAGCAAGCGAAAATGAGGGGAAAGTAGTGTTTGATCGTGGGAATGATATTGAGCACTCAAAAAAAACTGTAAAGAGTCAGTTTTGAGGGGGAATTAACCGCTGGAAATTAAAATAGGGAAAAGCATTGTAAACAGTGGACCATTGGAAATACAAGGGGAACCCGAGCAGAAAAAAAAGGAAAGAAACGAGAGAAAAAACACAAAACAAGGGGAGTCTCTCAGGTCGGCAACCAGAAATTAACGAGAAGGTTTCCCAACAATCATTCGAAGGGGGCTCTCAAACAGGGGACGAAAACAGTAAAAAAGAGGGTGATCTCAATCTTTTCCTTCGAATTTACAGTAGAAAATCAATGTAAAAGAGAAAAGAAAGGGCAATCCATCATTGTATTCAAAAATCGGGAAAGCAATAGAAAACACGTTTTGGGTTTGAGGTACTCTCTTTTGGTTTGTTTCCATTTTCCCGTTTTCTTTGTGTGTACTGGTATTGTTTTCAAACCAAGGTAAATATGAAATAGAATCAGGAGAAGATTGTTTACCGAGTCGTGCGTAACAGGGGTTAGTGTTCGAGCGTTGAGGTTTGTCCGAGAGACCTGGCACATGGTATGAGGTTTAGCTTTTAGATCGTGATTTCAAAATAGAGTGAGAATAAAGGAGGTAGGTGAAGATCGTTTACCTTTACGTTGAGTCACCGGGGCGTTGTGCATGGTGGCCGGATTTGGGATTTGGAGTCTTGGTCGTGACTTTTGAATGGGGGAGATGCAAAAGAGAATATAGAGGGAGAGTAGAGAAGATGAGAGGAACGGTTGGGTTGTTTAGTTTAGAGTTAGGTTAGGTTGTTATTTAGGTTGGATATATTAAAAATTTAGGGTTAATTAGTTTTTAGCCACCGAGTCCTTAGAGTGTCGTTTAATCCCTATAGTTTTTGTGTTTATTTTCATTTTGGTCCCCAAACCGAATGTTTTCCTGTTTCCAATTTTGCATCTTTATTTTATGCGTTTTAATTTTCAGTCCCAAATGTTATGTTATTTAGTTTTTGTTATTTTAGACATTTAACTTTTGAATTGTTGCATGTTCGTTTTAGTCCATAAATCAACATTTGCATGTTTATAGTTTTGTCTCTTTATTTTACCCGCTTCTAATTTTAGCCCTAAGTATTATTGTATTTAATCTTTGCTGTTTTAGATATTAAACTGTTAATTTTCGCATGTTACATTTTAGTCCCTAGGTAGAAGTTTGCATGTATCTAATTATGTCTATTTATTTTATGTTCATTTAATTTTCGTCCTAAATATTGATTTGTTCAATTTATGTTGTTTAGATATTAGACTTTAAGGTTTTTGCATGTCACATTTTAGTCATGGGTATGTTATTTTAAGTTTATGTGATGTTGCATATTTGGCATAACATTTTCTCGGTTTTCATTTTAGCTTTACAGGTGGTCTCAGTTTTATGTTGATCTTGGTATATGTAATGCATTGATAGGTTTTTTTTGTGGTCTTTGTGTAATAGTAATTTTAGCTTTAGATTTATTTACTCATTTATTTTAATCGCATGTTTAATTAATTTTTACATGACATCATTTTTGCATAATTTGCATGATAGTCTCACTTGCATAACTCGACATATTTATAATTGGATTAAGGGTAATATATTTTTAATTTAAAATTGTTTTAAGTGGGCAGTCATAACTGATTTGAGGTCCGCTTTTAATGATTTTAAAATAAAAGTGTATCCCGAAAGTGAAACCAAAAAATTGATTTGTCACCTAAAATTTGGGCACGAGAGAAAAAGAAATGTTCGTTTATTTAAATATATCGAGAAAAGGTTGTTATATCTTTAAGATCTGGTCTCGATATTTGTAAATAATCGAACATTCTTTATCTTTCTAAAATGACTTGGTAATTTTAATTTAATTTGTTTGAGTGTTTTTGAATTTTTAAATTTACATTTTTATTTTATGGGATCAAAAATCAAAATAAATTCGAATTTGTAAAGTTCATTGCAAAGACGTTAATTAATCGACTAGGTACCGATTTAGGGCGTTGTGGGGGTGCTAATCCTTCCCCACACGTAACCGACTCCCGAACTCGGATTTTGGTAACGTAGACCTCAATTTATTGTTTTAATTAAAATTAATTTTTATTTAAAATGACAGCATTTTTGGGTGCCCAATCACACCCTAATCAAATATTGGTGGCGACTTTTCGAATCGTATTTTTCGATCGTAAAGGAAATTCAAATTTTTTCGAAACGAGAGATCTTTTAAATCGCATATGATTTTAAAATAAAAAGAGACAATTAAAATTAATGTGTTTTCAAAATCTCACTCTTTTTTTACCTTTTCACTTTTTAGAAAAAATCGTTTCGACATTCCGTTTATGACTTTTTGCTGAAGTGGGCTCGGACTCATTACCCAGAACTGGAAGAACGACGTGAATTTCTCACTACGCGCTTTGTCCCCTAATCCGTTTTCCGTATATGACTTGCAGAAAGCTGAAAAAAGTTTTAACCTGCAATGACTTTGATGTAGAAATTGTATCCAAAGTTGTGTTTGAAGCTCTGTTTCTCAAGGCGGAGACATCTTACCAACAGCGTGCTATTGCATCAGAGGCTGCCGATATCAATGTCCGTCACTTTGTGGAGCGGGCTTACAAGTACCGCCCGGTCAAGATTGTAGAGTTTGAACAGCCAAGACAGCAGTGCATTGTATACCTGGACCAGAAGCGTGAGGAGTGCACGCATCTGTTTCCGGCTGGTAAGGTTTATTCACAAGCGTTTCATCTTGGCGAACAAGGGTTTTTCTTTTCCGCACATTGCAATATGGACCAGCAAAGCGGATTTCACTCCTTTGGACTATTTTTGGGAATGCAAGAAAGGGGATCTGTTACTTTTGATGTCGGCTACGAGTTTGCAGCAAGGTCAAAACCGACAGAGGATTATGTAGTTAAGTATAAAGGTAATTACAAATTCATGGGCGGAAAGGCCGTTGGCTATCGTAACCTGTTTGGTATACCGTGGACACTATTCATGTCCGAAGAGAGCAATTACTTTATAAATGGCGTTCTCCATCTCAGGGCCGAACTAACTGTTAGGCAGTGAGACTGAGCTAGGTTGAAGTATTATATGGTCAGTTTTACTTCATTTGGCATTTATAATATAAATTTGCCAAATGATCTTCAACAACTCAGCACTTGGATTCAAATGTGGGAAGGTTAACCAAATAAAGAAGCATATTGATCTTGCTATTGAGCTAACCCTAATCTTCAACTTGCAAGGCTGCAATTTTTTTAAAAAAAAAGACATTTTGAACTGGAAGCAGAAGCTTCCATGGAAGCCTTAGAACATCTTTCATATTTAAGTTATATATAAGTTTTAAGATAGCATTGAATGCATACGGGTCCAGTATTCGATATATATATATATATACAAATTCTAAATTAATTCATAATTTTATCTAGAGGAAAGGGGAAAGGAACTCTAGGAAAAAAAGGAAGTGTGAGTTTATAACTAATAAATTAAGGGAATATGAGGGAAGCAGATTGATCAATTGTACTTGCTCTATAAGTCTATACTATATTTTATTATTCGTTCTTATATTATATATAAATTTTAAAACCTAAAATATATAGACTAAAATTGATCAAATTAAGATATAAAAATAAACTTTGAATCTATGCATAATGTAAGGACCGATGATAGAATTTGACGCAAAATCTAATTACAATTTTATTACAAGGAGAAAAATAATCTTACGTGGCAGTTGACAGTGTATTGGGTAAATCACATCACAGAATATATCATTAAATTCGAAAATTTAATAATTAAATTGAAAATATATAAAGTTAAATAATTAAAACGGTAAAATGGGAAAAGTTAAGTGATGAAAAACATAGTTTAACCTTTTTATACATTTTTTTCCTATCTTTACTTTGTTTCATCTATTTCCAGCGATTACCAAACAAAGACATCAGCCCAGGACAGGAGGATCTCTCAGCTACGTTTTCTCTCAATTTTCTCCAATTAGCTCTGTAAGTTTCTAATCCTTTTCTATTTATTTTAGATTTCTATTTGATTTTCGTGTTAGCTTCGTTGAGGAAGGCGATCCAGCTTTGATTTGATATTTTTTGTTTGTTTGTTTTAGGGTTTAGGTGATGGCTTCAAAGCGGATCTTGAAGGAGCTCAAGGATCTGCAGAAGGATCCTCCTACCTCTTGCAGCGCAGGTTCAATTTCTTCCTTTTTTCTCTCTCTTTCTAGCCTCGGTTTGGTTAACTCTTGTTGGTTTGCTTATCGTCCTTTTTATTTTATCTTTTCTTTTCTGTTTATTCATGACACGAGATAATTATTTCTGTATGTCATGGATCTATGCTTATCATTAGAGATATATTTTTTTACCATGATTGTCTCATTGAGTCAGACTGCAATATATTTATTTTCTATAGTTTTAGGTTCACATCATAGAAATCTATTTGACTCTAGATTGTTGATTTTTCCCTGTCTTATTAATTTATATTAAAATCCATGTTTGTTATGTTATTAGAGGTGAATTTGTGAGGCATTGATTTTGCAGAAGATTTTTTTAAGAGTTTATTTTTGCATTATCATTTCAATTAAATGTTACTTGTGGATTTGGTTGCTCTGTCTAACCGATGTTTTATTTCATTTTATTATTGAAATAAGGCCCTGTTGCTGAAGACATGTTTCATTGGCAAGCGACTATTATGGGGCCCCCTGACAGTCCGTATGCCGGTGGAGTGTTTCTAGTTACCATTCATTTCCCTCCGGACTATCCATTTAAACCACCCAAGGCACTTGATCTTATTCCTTAACCTTCTAGTTTTCCTTTTTTCCTTGTTCACTGTATATTGAGAATGTGTACTTCTCTTGACAATGCATATAAATGTAACTGACTGTCCTTTTTCTTTTTAGACACATCAAATAGGCCATTTTAAATATCTTGGGGAAAATGATATAGCACTTTGTATACTGCATGTTCAATTTTTCCAATAAACTGTTTTTTAATAACCATATATGCAAGTGCTGCAGGCACAAATGTTTTCTACTCTGAAATCCATACATCTGTTATTTTAACATGGTTAATGTTCCTACTTGCACCCATTCACATTTCTACGTTTAGAGAGATATGGATTAGCATAAGTGTTTAAAGCCTCCATGTTATTTAGTTAATTCCTTACTGTAAATACTCTGTGACCATGATGTCTTTACAGGGTTAGTGGCTTGTGCAAACATTGCTTGGCACTGAAATGAGTAAATGCTAATTCTACTTGATAATTTATTCTGTAAATGCTAATTCCTTCTAGCTTTTGTTAGTTTATTTTGTTGGCACGTATGCGTACACAGTGATGCATGCATATGTATGCTGTGTGTCTAATGGTTTAGTTTATATGTGAAAGGCTATTATTAGGTGGTTTTCAGTGCCAAAGTTTACATGATCTATTGTTATTTTTACTTTTGTAAACAACCTCAGGTAAGCCTTCTTATTACTTCCATATGGATATTTCATTATGGCGCCTCACATATATACTTTTTGGTTAAGCAAAAGTTATTGTGCATGGACACCATGTGAATATATTTTACATTTTATGCGATGATAATGTGTTCATATATTTAAGGTAGAATAGCATCAAATTTACTTTTAGAAAGAAATATAATCGTAACCAATCGACAATGGCCTATCAATCTTCACCTAGTTCTCCTAATTCTAGTAAGTACATGGTAAATCGATGATGAAGTTGTTTCATGTTCTTTTTCCCACTGTAATGGCCTTATAACTTACCAGCTTAGTAGCTGATTTATTACCAGCTAATTTCTTGCTTAGTTTTGTTCGGTTATCCTTTTTTTCCCCCCTCATTTTATCTCTTTTTTAGAATACTTTTCCCTTCGATTCAGGTTGCGTTCAGGACAAAGGTCTTTCATCCTAATATTAACAGCAACGGTAGCATTTGCCTGGATATTTTGAAGGAGCAATGGAGTCCTGCCCTCACCATATCCAAGGTCCGTTCAACATGCGTGTATACATCTTTTGATTTGAATAATAGATTTCACTGTGATGCCATCTATCAACAGATTGTCATAAAACCATTAAAATTTGAACCGTCTTTTAAAACAAAAGATTACAATAACCCTTTAAATTTAGCATTCCATCTACTGGCCAAGTTGTGTTTTTTTTTTTTTGCATTTATGGGTCATTACTATTTTATGTAAGGCCACCCCGGGTTAAAAGGAGTATATATTTTTTATCATGTAACTGTTGCTTGCCTTGGCTCACTGGTATTTAAGTGTGGGACTGTTTCTTATTTGTATTTTTGATTCTAGGTCTTGCTCTCAATCTGCTCACTTTTGACGGATCCAAACCCTGATGATCCCTTGGTGCCAGAGATTGCCCACATGTACAAGACCGACAGGAGCAAGTATGAGACAACTGCTCGGAGCTGGACCCAGAAGTATGCTATGGGTTAGTGTGCTAATATGTATGTAAAAGGAGGGTTTTTTATTCCATGTGGCTTTGATCTTTAAATTAATATGTTTAAATCAATGAATCAGTATGTGTGGCCTGTCTTTGCACTTTATGTACTGAACCAAGCCCTCCTTAAAACACATTCTCTGCTTTATTTGTTGTATGGGAATTATTTTTCAAACTTGAAATCCCCCACTCTCCTATATAATCCTTGTTTTAGGTCTTATCCCCTTTTCATTTTCGCTATGGAAATAGCTTATCAGGTTCAGATGCTATAACTCCGGCTTCAGCTCAATGTGTTACGGTTCACCACAACCTGTAAGGTATTGTTGGTTTGAAGTCCATTGAGTTTATCGATTTTGTTCACAAAAATGATTTGGCTTCTTAGTTAAATTCTAGTACGAGATTTGAAACTCTTAACATTGGTGATGCAAATGAGATGGAGTAAGAATGGTTGTGTTTTGGGTATTGTGCAAAGAAGTATATACCTTTTTGAGAATGAATAGTTTAATTGTTGTTTCCAATATGTTTTTTTTTCTTGCATGTGGAGAACAGTTGCCCTTAGGACGTGCTTCTGTCATGTCCTGCTCTCCAAAAGAGGATGAGAAGTTCTGCCTACGACAATTTTAATATGCAGTTAAGGAAATACGTTATTGAAAATTATTATTTTTTTAATATTTTCGGTAAAAAATTTATTAAATATTATTTTTTTACTTAAAACATTAATTTTTTAATATTTCCGATAAAGTGTTAATATTAACATTTATGATAGAAAAATAATGTTTTAGGTAACGTTTTACCGAATACGTTAACAAATCCGATAAAGTATTGAATAATAACATTTTTGGTAAAAATAATATGTTTTAGATAATTTTTTACCGAAAATATTAGAAAAATAATAATATTTTTGTATAATAATATTTTTGATAACGTCTTTTCTTAATCGTATATTAGATTATATGATAATTTCTCAAAGAGGGAGACCAATTATTTATTAGAATGATTGAGTGTATTATTTCCACATCGGAAAATGCGGAAAGAAAATTGAACCAGACGCACCTTTGTTTTTACATTGTTTGTCCTTCAAGCAAAAAAACATGGAGAGAATGCACAAGTTGGGACAAAAATGGAAGTTATGGCAAGAAAAGAAAAAGGAAAAGATAGATGATACCGAAACCAAACATTAAATGACATCATCAACTCATCAAAAGAAATCCAACAATTAATTTGTCTAAAGTTACATCATTCTGAAAGTTACACCCAAATCTGAAAGAATCATGGTTTCACATCATCACCAAATCTACTAAAACCACACAAAATTATGAAATGCAACGCAGGCCCTTAAAAGCTAAAGAAAATCAGCAGCGTGAATGAGGTAGGTTAGCACCAGAGCAACCAGCATCAGCGCGTAAGCAATCCCTAGATCGATCGACGTCCCTGTCGCCCCCATTCGAACATTTCAAAAGAACAAGAAAGGAAAACACTCAATCAAATGGCATTTGATATGCGAAGTCAGATCTAAAAACTATAGAGAGAGAAAAAGAAGAGCCAGAGAGCTAATTAACCATCGCTTGTGGGAGCAGGTGCGGGAGCAGAGGACTGTGCGTCAACGGCAGAAGGTAAGGCGGCCATAGCAAAAACAAGAGCTGCAAAAACAGCCATAAAAGACACCTTGGAAACCGCCATTCTTCTTCTCTCTCTCTCTCTCCGGTGTCTCTCAAATGTTTCAAAGAGCAACGAATGGGCAGCCTCGCAGAGAGAGAAAGAGAGATTGAACTGATCTTTTGACGATGTGGAAACGAATGGCGAGAAAGTTGAACCTGATTTTATATACGAAATTCGAAATTTATATAAAAATAAAATATGATTTTAAAATTACGACACTTTTGGGTTCATTTTAAAATACTCTATGATTACTATGGAAGAATATGATTATTAATTATATAGTCTGTCATATTAGTTGGCGCCATCTGCTTGGGTTCGGATTCACCCATGTGTTTGTTCCCTTTCTCTCTCTAAATAATTTCCAACAATTAAGAAAAAATATTTACGTTTTATCGTTCATGATTAGCATAGTAAAATTATCAGAAATTGAAACTTTTATTTATTTTTTAATTTTAAAAATTTATGTTTAAGTTATTTTTTAAAATCGAAATTGTTTAGATGTTAATTTGAGAGAAAGTTTTGATTCTAAAAATTGGATTTTGGATGAACTTTTAAATCTTGTGATGGGATCAGATTTATTATGAATTTTCAAGATGTTAGGGTGAAATTATTTTTTAGATTTGAGTTTGGTCGATTTTAAATTTGATACATGTAAATTTGGGATGAAGCAGAGCGGCTAAAAATTTAGGGTGAAGTACATAAATGGACCTCTGACTATAACATACTATTTTATTGAATTTTATTGAGTCATTCGACTATTAAAATTATAAAATGATCATCCGACTATAGGTGTTCATTTGTTAAGTTCCTCAACTATTAAAAGTTATAAAATGATCACCCAACTATTCATTGTATTCCAAACTCGTCCATTTCTGTTAAAAAATTAACGATCGTCTGAGCTGGACGTTAACATACTGACTTAGATATGATAGTCATTTGAGATTATAAGATCAAATTTTATCATATCTCAATCAACATGTTAACTTCCAACTCAAATTGCTTTCAATATTTTTAACAAAAAGGATGATTTTAGAATATAATGAATAGTCGGGTGTTCATTTTGTAACTTTTAATAGTTAAGGGACTTAATAAAGCAACACCCTATAATTAAGGGATTATTTTATAATTTTTAATAGTCGAGAGACTCAACAAAGTAGTATGCTATAGTTAGGAGACCATTTGTGTATTTTACCCTTTATGTTTATATTTTCTTTTTTTAATTGTTTAATGCAAATTATTTTGCAGTTTAAATTTGTGCTGTAGAATCTGTTCTTTAGTGCCAGCAAATGCCTACGAAAAGTTATCGTAACTTAAATTATATAAATTGACATAAAATTTAATGATGTGATTAATTATTGTTAATGACGCACTTCCAAAATCAATAACATTAAACTGCCTTTTTTTTGAAGAGGGACTGATTTGCTCAATATCGAATATGGAGGGATTGGAGAGATTATTTACCTGAATATTTGTCTTTAATCTGGGCCGGATTTGAATTCGAAACGGCCTTATTCAAGAACCAAGAATTAAAAATCTACGGCAGAGATATAAAAGAGAAGAAAGAGAAAAAAACGGGGGAAAGATTTGGAGCACTGAAAGAGAGATAGGCTGCTTCGACTTTCTCCAGGTAACTATCCTTTGATGTTCCTTGTTGCTCAGATTGATTGGATTTGAAGTTCTTGATTCTTCATTGCAGTATTCTGATTTTTTTAAAACATTAACAAAATCCTCCGATTTGCTTCTCCTTCGATTGGGTTTCTCGTGACCTAGGTTTTTGGATAAAAGCTTTATTCTATGATAAATGACATGTTTTAAGTGCTGAAATTTAAAAAATATGTATCTGTTGGAAATTTTCCCTTTGTTTGGCGATTGAAAAAGTTACGAATAAAACCGGTGTGTCTCTCTAATTGTAGAATAATACAGCTACTAATGTTTATATATCTAATTTTAACAGATATTGCATTGACGAAAGTTCAGGGACCAAACGTTCAAGAATCATCTACTACTCATGGCATCCAAAGATGCAGATCCGTCACTCGGGTACTTGACCCGTAAAGACACCGAGGTCAAACTCCCTCGGCCGACACGTGTCAAAAACAAAACTCCAGCTCCAATTCAAATAACTGCTGAACAAATCCTTCGAGAAGCTCGGGAACGGAAAGAGGCGGAAATTCGACCTTCTAACATCTCTTCCACGGCGGAAATTTGACCTTCGAAGACCTAATCCGCAGTGTTCGGTGGAATGTCAGCGTTTGGATCAAGTACACTCAATGGGAAGAGTCCCAGAAGGACTTCAATCGAGCACGGAGCGTTTGGGAGCGTGCTCTGGAAGTTTATTACCGAAACCACACTTTATGGTTGAAATATGCCGAAGTGGAAATGAAGAACAAGTTCATCAACCATGCAAGGAATGTTTGGGACCGTGCCGTCACGCTCATCCCGCGTGTGGAACAGCTCCGGTACAAGTACATCCACATGGAAGAGATGTTAGGGAATGTTGCTGGAGCTCGCCAGATTTTTGAACGCTGGATGTCATGGATGCCGGACCAACAAGGTTGGCTTTCCTACATTAAGTTTGAGCTTCGTTACAATGAAGTTGAGCGCGCCCGTGCCATTTATGAATGCTTTGTTCAATGCTACCCCAAAGTTGGAGCTTGGATTAGATTTGCCAAATTCGAGATGAAAAACGGGGAGATTGTACGGGCTAGGAATGTGTATGAGCGTGCGGTGGAGAAGCTGGCAGATGAAGAAGATGCAGAGCAGTTATTCGTTGCTTTTGCTGAGTTTGAGGAACGGTGTAAGGAAACAGAACGAGCTCGTTGTATTTACTAGTTCGCTCTCAATCATATACCCAAAGGGAGAGCAGAGGATTTATATAGAAAGTTTGTGGCTTTTGAGAAGCAAAATGGAGATAAGGAAGGGATTGAGGATGCAATTGTGGGAAAAAGGAGATTTCAGTATGAGGAAGAATCCTTTAAATTATGATGCTTGGTTTGATTATATAAAATTGGAAGAGAGCGTAGGCAATAAGGGGAGAATTAGGGAGGTTTATGAGAGGGCTATTGCTAATGTTCCTCCAGCTGAGGTGAAGCGATATTGGCAGAGATATATTTACTTGTGGTGAGTTTTTGTGTACCTAATGGTGGTAAGCTTGGTTTTTTATTATTATTGTTCTGAACTAACTGAATTATGGTTTACTTGTTATTTAGGATTAATTATGCTTTATATGAGGAGCTTGATGCCGGGGATATGGAGTGGACAAGAGATGTGTGTAGGTATCTTTCTTTTCCTTCAATGGATTTATGGTTCTGTTGGTTGTTTTTGTTGCTAAATTGCAAGTCAAATCAATGCTTTACTAATAAATCTTGACAATCAAACTTTGCAAGAAACTTGCCGATTGCCAATATTGAATGTTTGAATATGTCTGTTTCACTCTACTTGCTTGTCCATTTCATTATGCTTCTGGGGAAATTTTTATCTCCTCTCTTGGAATTATGCTGAGGAGAAAGGGAAAAGAACGAGGAAAATCTAAAATTTAAGTAGATATTAATTGCAAAGGAGCTTACTTATGGATTACAGCTGTCTTTATTGCACCCTTTTTTTTCTTTGTTCTATCAGCATCTTCATTATTTCCATGGTTGTCTTTCTGTTTCATATTTCCTTGCTTTGTATCGATTCCCCACTTTGGGTTTTGTATGTGGACAGCTCTATATATCTGAAATGCTATGAGAAATGGTGTTGTTTAACAAGGAAAGAGAACATTTCGGAATGCTAATTGTTTATCTTTGACATGAGCTATAATATATTTTCTTATAAAATATTTTCAGGGAGTGCCTTAAGCTTATACCCCATGAGAAGTCTTCTTTTGCAAAGATCTGGCTTCTTGCTGCGCAGTTTGAAATAAGACAACTCAATCTCAAGGGTGCACGACAAATTTTGGGAAATGCTATTGGAAAAGCTCCCAAAGATAAGGTAGGTGTCTAACTGATGCTGAATGACTATAAATTTGACCGTTTAACATGAAGTATTCTCATTATGTTGTCTTGTTATCATTCAGATCTTTAAGAAGTATATTGAAATTGAGCTGCAACTTGGTAATATTGATCGTTGTCTAAAATTGTACGAGAAATATCTAGAGTTGGCGCCTGAGAACTGCTATGCATGGAGCAAATATGCCGAGTTAGAAAGATCATTATCTGAAACGGAGCGGGCAAGAGCTATTTTTGAGCTTGCCATCACACAACCAGCTTTGGACATGCCAGAGTTACTGTGGAAGGTATTTGCCCTATCAACAACTGTTTGATGATGTTTATCTTTTTTTATTGTAGTTACGCCAATTTATTGTCAAGGCAGAAACTGTTATACTGAGTCCTGGGTGGGAGGGTGACTTAATTGTCCTTTTCTATTGGTCGTGCTGGATACTTTTGTCTTATTGCTTCATAGTTGATCCAACAAGGTATTCCCGTCACATGATTAAGGTTTCTCGTGTGAAATGACTGATGATTTTCTTATGAATCTTCATTTTATAATAGTTGCATGTTTACTTGAAGATATATGCACGGTAATAAAAATTGGGACAGCAATGAGGTCTTAATAAGTGATTTCTCCAATTTTTCTCGTCTTTTCTTTCTTGTTTTTTTAAGAATATAATTTCTAATGATGTTATATTAAATACTAAATGGTGGTAATGCTTCATATTCTTTGATGACAGGCATACATGGATTTTGAAATTTCTGAAAGTGAATATGAACGAACCAGAGGATTGTACGAGAGACTTTTGGATCGAACAAAGCACTTGAAGGTGTGGATTAGTCATGCCAAGTTTGAAGCCTCTGCAAAGGAGAATGATGAGGATTGGGACTTGCCAGAAGACGGGGTTCCGGAACATGATTATGAAGCAAGAAGGGATGCGTTCAGCGTGTGATAAGTGAGAGTCCGGAACCAATCCAATATCAGCTACCTGCTAGTGTTATCAACTTTGATAATTTTAAATTCTTACCTTCTGTTTTATTTTTATTCTCTCCAGGAGTCTTTGAAAGAGCAATCGACTACTATAGAACGTAGGCACTGGAATTGAAAGAAGAGCACGCTATGCTACTGGAAGAGTGGCTTAACATGGAAAGCAATTTTGGCGAGCTTGGAGACGTAAGCGTGGTCCAGTCTAAGGTGCCCAAGAAACTCAAAAAGAGGAAGCAAATAACAAGTGAAGATGGTGGTGTCTCTGGGTATGTAACTCGCACCATTTACTTTGCTTCTAGCGGTATTGGCATATATGTATTCTGCTGGAACACTAAATGTTGAATCATTTGGCTTGATAGGTATGAAGAATATATCGAATATGTATTCCCGGAAGAAAACCAGGTGACGAACCTCAAGATTTTAGAAGCGGCTTATAAATGGAAAAAACAGAAGCTTTCTTCCGATGACGAGTAGAATGATATCTATATTGTAATTTTAATTCCAAATGTAAATACGAGCATGCCAATGTGACTGCTTAATGTCTGGATTTTGTTGTGCTGTATTTGTGTTCGGGAAAACAGGCTTCTGAGGGAAGTGTTGAACTGGAGACGAGAACTTTGTCAAATGAAATGAGTTAGCATAGCATTCTTTAAGGTTTCATTTGAATTTTTAGTTTTATTATAAAGTGAGATGAAATTTTATTAGAATAATTAACAAACTTTTGATTTTATTAAAAACAGACATCGTGTTCATTTGAGACAATTCAGTAGATTAAAATTAATGTATAATATCTCATTTTAATTTAATAGTTTTTCAACATTTTAAAGTGAAAAGAAGCCAGTAACTTTTGGATTTCAGACTAATTTCTTTCATGGACGTAATATTTTAGTTAGTCGAAAATTACACATCAGGAGTAGATGTGAAAAAGTAGGGCTTGCTCCATCGCTTTGCTAAAATTGTAGGAGGCCAAGGGAAAAAGGGAGCATTTGAACCTAACCTTGGGCCTTGCGGGCCAAAGGTTTTAAAAGTAACTTAGAACTCAACAGTAGGGGATCATCTGAGAAAGCGGGTAAAGAATGATGCGATGGCTTGAACAGCCGCATCTTCGGCTTCCTCTTGGGTGGATCCCTTAGTTTGGAGGTGCTTCTTTGAAATCTTGAATGAGGGGTCACCACCTTCAATCTCATGCAACCCACTCATTGCCTTCATTTTCTTCCTTACACCTAATATTTCCAAGGGACGTAAACCATCCTTGCTACCCTAAACTCAAGTTCCAAAGCACCAAGAGATATCAAAATTATAAAAAAGATCAATTTTTTCATGTCGAAATGAGTTTTGATCCTTCTAAACATACACACGAAGAGAAATCATTTAACATCAATGCACGATTTTTGTACAACCATAAGACGAAAATATGAAGACAACCACATCATTCATGTAAAGAACCATGTATTAAGGTGAGAAGAGTACCTGCACAACCATCACAGGAACTTTAAGTTGAAGTAAAGTTTCATCTCTTACTGCTCCATTCATCCCCTGATATTTAACCAAGAATTTATTATTAACAAAGCCCGATTCAGCTTCCAAGTTGCATCACAAAGGTTAAACTACGATTCCTCAGGGTAAAAGTCATTGTTTCCTGCCCTAATCCCCAAGGGCCCTATCCTCATTCATAAATAAAGTTTAACATGGTAGCCTAAACACTGTAAAGTTGTAATTTCTAATTCACTATTGTGTTCATGCGTTGTGAAAGACCCCTTTATAAATATTCACTGAATAAACCGAAACAGTTTGTCGGATTAACCTTGGGAAATCTACAACAGAATACGAATGACTGTTGACTCGCTCATATTATGGAATCGGTCAGATATAAACGGAAAAACCATTGGATGTCTTCATAAGATACACTAGAACAAACAGCTGATATCATCAATGCCAATTTCAAAACCAGAACAGCAGAGAAGTTTGAGCAAATGACAAACCTTAAGCGGGTATCTTAGGCAAACAATTAATGATGCATCAATGTCTTCCTGGGCAGCCACCATGCAGCTCACTCTACAAAGAAACATGGCCTTAAAATGGGACATACAAGCAATCATCAATGAAATTTAGACAATCTCAAAGAAAAATGTGAACCATGACATTGATTATGGAACATCAACACCAGGATTAGTCCTTAATGTCCCTTAAATCCTATGGAAGAATGCATTGACAATGTTATAACCTTAAACAATTCCCTAAGCACAGACATTAGCAAAACACAAATGGCAACACAATTATATTGTACCTTGAACCCATTGATTTGCCAGCCAAAATCAGAGGATGCCCAGTATATTTGGAAACTGCATCCTTAACAACACCTGAGTGGAAATCCACCAATTTTTCTGCCTTGGCTGGAGCCTTTCTTCTTCCCCCAGACATATCTGCAAATACCACAACAATCCCTTATATTTCAAATGATTTGAAAAGAAAAGCATTAATCTGAGAAGTGAACTTAAAGGGTAATCAAATGTCACAACTTCAACAGCATTCAACGCCTTCTTCAACATTTCTTTCCATCTGCAAAGATTCAACTCACTTAACCATTAAACAAAAGCCCCAATTAACCTTAAAAAGGGAGAAAAAAGGACTTGATCATCCAATCAGAAGAGGAAGGAGCACCAGCGCCATGTGCAAAGACTACCACAGGGGATGATTTTTCTTGGGTCAACGCTGATTTTGACGGTGATTCTCCGTCCACGGTTTGCCCTTTTCGTCTTCGCTTTGAAGGCGGTGAAGAAGACATTGCTGGAAAGATTACTCTTCCTTTTCGTTTCCCCAAATTGAAGGGATAATACCTATCAAATATTAAAAAAAATGAAGTTCCCTTCGCGCCAAATACCATTTCTAAGAACTTCCCAGCTTCGCCAACACGTCATCCAACACCATTTTAGGGCTTTTGGGCTTTTAAAGGGCGTAGTGGACGCCTCTCGATTTTGGGTTTTGCTGGATTATACTGTGCAATGGGGAAGAAAAAAGAGAGCATAAATTCCAGGATCAAAGTCCTGCCCTATTGTCCAATTTGCAAGATATGCAACTGGTTCTAGAGATTAAAAGGCAAACGAATGTCAATGGAGAATTAATCTTAGCGTTGACATTAAGGATAAACAAATCACATTCATGCATGGCTAAAGATAGATGCCTAAGCACCTATACTTCACTCTTCTGCTTTTTTATCTTAATGCCTAGTCAAGGTTCTTAAGGGTCAAATTCCCCAAGTGTTTCTGCCATTTTTTGAATGATTTCAAGCTAATTGTAAAGAACATACATTCCACTCGTCCACATGTGGGTTCCAAGTCATTTGAAAGGTTCTTTTTTTAAAAACCTTTTTCAAGTTTTTTCTTATGTTTGGATATGTTTCGAAAGTCATGTTTTCATATCATATCACGAATATCGAATACGAATATTTTAAGAAAAATAAAGACTTGAAACAACATGAACGATCGATTGTCAAATAACAAGAGACGGAGTGGTCCGTGTTAGAAAAACTTTTGCAAGTCCTATAAAATGGTGTTTCTTGTAGCCAATTCTATTCAATGTGAATCAGCCAAACCAATCAAGTAGGTGAAAAAGATTGGGGCTTGAATCTTACAAGGCACTGGTTCCTCACTCTCCCTCAAGGACTTCCAGAAATGCTGGAGCACTGTCCCAACAATGCTGGAAGTCTTTGGAGAGAGTGAAAAAAAAAACGTGCCTTGATAGCTAGTAATTCACAGTGGTGTGTGCATTTCCAATGGAATTCGTTGCTCACTCTCTCAATGGCTTCCGAATTTGCCTGGTTTTTCAAGGGCTTAAACTGAAGCCCTGAGGCGAGAGTGGATAATGTTCACCATTCTTCCTACTTACATGCTTTATTTTTCTTATCTTTCAGGTTCGTTTTATAATCTATGTTCGAAATTTTATCGGATCATAACCCTTTTTTTATTGAATAAAGACAGCTTAAACCTACATGTACAAATGTTCAACAATCTTCTGCAACCTTGAAGCTTTTGTTTATGCTCTTGCTAGCCAGCTGCCTCCATTGCACTAAGCAAGCTCTTGATTCTTCTCCACAACTCTCACCCCATTTGCAGATCTAAGCACATTGGCCTGGTTTCGTTAAACAAAAAACCATAAATCAAAAGGTTGAGAGATAATTCATTTATACAAAACATACTGTAGAAATGACAAGATTATAGAGATGAGATGACCTAAGCATCTGTGATTTCGACTGCAAAACCATCAACAACGACCAAAGATAAAGCCCTGTTGTAGGTGCCAGCTTGAAGGGTGCTTGCCAGAAGCTTATCGTGCTTCTTGCCCAGAAACAAATCAAGCTCGTACGCCCCTTTTTTAGTTCCGTTAAAGAGAAAAAACATGAGAAATAAACATCGAGAAGAAAGTTGCAGAAAGAGAAAAAAGGATTAATATGAAGTAATCATATAATGATGATGAAACTCACGGATCAGCAGCTCGAAGACGCTGGTATTCAGGATCATAGTTCATGAAAACAAAGTACAACTCGGTGTTTGTGCTTCCCATCACCACTCTTTATATATATATATTTTCTTTGGTTATTCATTTTCATACTAATATGGTAGGTATTTATACACGAACAATAATAATCTGATATTCAATAAAACAATATTCTATAGTTGAAATATATTTATGTATTTTATTTAAAAGTTTAGATATTTAATTTTTTTTAATATATTATTATAAGTAAAAATAACAATATCAATCAAATTAAGATGTATAATATAAGTAAAGTCTTAAAACTTTATAAACCGGAATAGTAAAGGGAATGGCAGATAGCCTTGCATTAAGTTTAGTTGCATATTCCAATAGTAGAACATGCCATGTTTAGGTTTCAACATTACTTTCCGCGAGGTTCATGCATATGTTTAAGAAAGAGTTAAGATACTTTCAAAACCCATAATTATAAAAGATGGGTAAAGTATGCTTTTATTCATTTAATATTGATCATATTTCTGTTTTGGTCACTAAATTTTAAAAACAAATCAATTTAATCATCCTTACGTTAAATCAGAAATGACATAGTGATGCGTCTATTTTTTTCTTCTAAAAGTGAACTATTTTTCTGCTGATGTGTCGCATCGTTTTTTTAAATCACAAATAACATTGTGACGTGTTTGTTCTCTGATGTTTTCTCCAACCATTCATGATACTGATAAATTAGTCTCATCGTTTCCTATCACTCCATCAATTTAGATTTTTCTAAATTTTTCTAAAGTTCACAAAACTTCAATCTAAAGTCGAGTGAAAACAAATTCGATCTACAATCTTCGTCGTCTATCACTATGAATCCATGCTATATTGTATGTCTCCTTATTCTCCATCTTTTCGCAGATAAAAATTTGAAAGAAGATGCTCTAATGTTAGAATATCAAAGAGAATCCAAAAGGTTAAGTTAAAAACCTAAAATTTTGTGAAAGGAAAATTTCAAGTATAATTTTATAAATATAAAAGAAAGTTTCGAGATCCTTTTTAAAAAGATAAATGTTCTGTCATATAACACGTACGGTTAAATAATTAATAATAAACTGATAAAAATATAGTAATATCAAAATTAAATGATCAAAATCAATGGTTTTCATTTTTGATTCATCTATTAATTAATTATAAAAGATGTGTATATATATAGATCAAATCTCAGTGTTCTTCATATTTGATTGATCAATTAACTAATTATAAAAGATGTGTATATATATAGATCAAATCTTAGAAATTTTTTGTTTTACTTGTAAAAATTTAATCATATTTGATTAAGCTTTTGATGTTTTGTCATAGAAATATATCATTTTATAGTCTCAAAAACACGATCAAGATACAGTAAAATCTGTGTTATCGGAGGCCTGGTCTCCGGTAACGTGTTCGTACAAGACAAAGCAATCTCCAGAACCATCAAAGCTTGCATCCGGTCTCCTACATGGACGTCAAATTCAGAAAACACAGTTTTACCCTGTATTATACTTTCCTTTGCGCAATTTATAAGCACTATATCATCTGGATTCGTCACTCCCGCCAGCAGATCGAGTAAAACAAGTCCGAAACAGAATATGTCACTCTCTTGACTCAAATTCCGACGGTTATCAGTTCCGACACGGTCTTGGTGACTGAGCAACTGGATGAAGCTGTAATCCGATAACCGAGCCGTGAAGTCGGTGTTTATCATGACGTTGGAGGATTTTATGTTTCCATGTTCGTTTGATCATCAGTTGGATGACGGGGTTGTGCATGGATGAAACTGATTGCTCGTGCAATGCTGGATATTATCTTCAGACGTTGATTCCAATTTAACGTGGTCTGCCCTCGTCTTTCACCTTTGATTAATCAATCAAAATGAACAATGTTTAAATGAATTCCATACAAGCTAAGATGATATTTGGTTTATGAAGGAAGTGGAATAAAACTGACCTGAAAGCAAGTCAGCTAAGCTTCCCATGGGGTAATAGTCACAAACAACAAGCTTGATCCTCCTGGAATATAAGTAAGCGGTGATCGGCACGAGATAGTCGGAGCTGCCGCAAACTTGAGCCAATCTCTCGACTCTCTGACCGAATTCAGACTCGCCCAAAACCTCTTTAGAACAGAAAGTGTACCGTTTGGTAATACCATTTTTTCAGTCGAACCCCGGCTGTTCTCTCCCATGACACGGACGGAGGCATTGAAAACCTCCTCTAGAGACGGTGTTGGCACATGGTTTTCACAAGAATCCCCTGCTCCACCATCATCGTCGTATTGAGGATTGAACTTCGGCCTTGGCCTGCTTCGGTCACCATGTTCTTTTAAATCTCTCCTGGGTTCTGCAAAACTAGCCCTTGCGAGGATTCTTTGTGCCGCGCAAGATGAACAATACGTGACTCCGATGAGGCAGAGTTGATGGCAATCATACATGCTTTTGGTATGTTTTCTTCAATCCAAGGGGTTGAAAGATTGGAGAAGGTCGTTTCATGCTGCTGATGTCGAACGTTTGACCTGCTTTGACGTTTTATGAGGTTCCCAACAAATGAACCCATGGAGATTCTCGCCGCTTCTGGTTTTTTGTTCTCTTGATGTTTACACCAATTCCCACCGACGGATGGTGCTGGGGCGTCAGTAAGCACCCTTCTTCACAACATCAAAGTGTATGTTTTTGTTGTTACCTGCTCTCTCTTCCCTCATAAATCAAATCTTGTTTTCTTTACGTGTAATGTATTAATGGAACCGTTGGCCTCCACAGATTTAATATTAGCTAGTGGACACTCAAATAATAAAAGGATTTTGATTGAAATTTCACTTTTGGAGACCCTCAGTTTTCAACTTTAGCTATCCATCCACTTCCTCAAAATCTATATCAAATCAAAATTTATAAAATAATCAAGTTTATAAAACTATTACAAAATATCCATGAGATTATAAAAAACAATAAATTTAATAATTATTTTATAACCGTTTAAAAAATTTAATGATCAAAATTTAATAATTATTGTATAATAATTCAATGCACTTTACCCTTTCTTTTTCCAAGATCACTCGTTGTTGAGTCGATAATTATGCAGACTCCGATTATATTCAAAATTAAATCGAATCAAACTCTTACCTAAAACTGTTTTTTATATAACACGCAAAACTAAAGATGTGAACATAAATGTATCTATCCTGCTTACATATTTACAAACAAATACCGATTCACCACCACCCATTAGACAAACACCACAGAGAAATTTTCGATTCGTTTTTCTTCATTTACTAAATCCGTAGGCCGCTGATGAGTTTAATTGTCAGCTACTATCGACACAAGACACCTAAAGATCATTGTTCTAATCAAAAGCAGAAGCATAAAAATGCAAGGAAATAGTTGTTCACTCTGCTAGCAGGAAAGCCCAAACTGTCTACTCGACTTCTGATAACAAGTGTGTCTCACTTATCACCACACAACGATTACCTTGATGGTGTTGGTACGGACCTGGAATTTTTCACATTCTTTCAATCGGCTCGGTCCGATCCTGAACAGCCAAGTGCTCTGACACATCAGCCAATGACTTGAGGTTGCACTTGATCAATGCCTCGACGAAGTAGCATGTTTCATCCTTGGTGTTCCCTTCAGGTACATCCACTGTAAAGGACACGATCACCAATGTGACTGGTCTGCCATCGATGACCTCGGGATGCACTGTAACAATGGATGAGTAGTTCTGCCAATTTGTGCACAAGGAAAATTTTGCAGTTTCAGATCATGATAAAAATTTAGGACACTACAAAATTCAAAACTTCACCCCGAAGAGAGAGGTCAATGTAGAAATGGTACAATAGCGTTCACTTAAATTCAATTATTGAAAATAAAAGGAGGCAGTATAAAATATATCAGAACTAAATTTAAAACATCTTCAACGAATATGTTAAACAGCATTGCTTACTCACGTGTATAAACTAAAAATGTTATATTATACCAGATTCATTACATGCAATAAGCGCCAGGAAAACATTGGCTGTCGCAATAAGATGGGTTTCAGGTCAAATGTTCTCTCAGCACAAGAACCATAAATTATTTGATTAAGGCCACACAAGGTATATACAATTCCCCCCAGGCAGAGTGCAGGCAAGAAGCTCATTCATGCCACTAGTGAAATTCAGCAGAAATAGATTTCACAAGTCAATATGAATGATATATATCTCCTTGTTTCAGAACTCCAATTTCAAATTTCATAAACATAAAAAAGGATCCAATAAGATTTAGTAGATTAAACAATGGTTTTGGCATTTGTACTCAATTCAGTCTTACCCCAATGACTGGCTACAGAAGCTAGCATATTCAGTTCTACATCTTACAGGTTACCATATCCAAAGCCTTGTTACATTTTCAGGTAATTTATGTATGCACAATTACATAGGAATACCAATATATCATATAATAGTAGACATGATAAGTTAATTTGAGGTTAATGTTTATATTTCAGTCAAGATCATATGGTGAACAACTAAAAGTCTATAGGAATTCAAAGAGGAGGCATTTTAGGTTACATGTGTGGCGTTTTAAATTCAACCAAATGGAAAACTCATACCTTCAACCTATGGTCTCCTCCGACAATCTTCATGCTCAAAATATGCTCATCGTCATCTAGATACTCTAACCTTTCTTTTCTAGTTGTGGCCAGCAAACCTGACTTAACATTGACTTCTCTAACTCTTCCAATCTGAAGGTCACCCTGTAGAACACACCTGCTAACAAATGGCTTATACTTCTGTGGTTGATCGAATCTCCTCACCAAAGACCAAATCTGATTGATCAAAAACCAATAATCATTCACTAGTGAAGAAAATAATGCCAAGTTTGCCTTCGATCAAAGCAAACTAAAACCTGAAACATAATCTCAGAGTAACTTTATTTGTAACTACATAAAAACCAGTTTGGGTAAGTTCATCTGTAACTACATTAATTGGTATCAAATTAAAGCTAGTTCAAACTGAAGTTCATCACTATTTGAAGAATAAACATATGAACCCTGAGTTATCATTTCCATACTTAGTGAAATAAAAATAAATAAATAAATCTTAAGATCCGTATCCATTCAAACAAAGAAAATACTTAGCAATTCATTATACAAGAAAACAACGATTTTAGAGAGTGAATTCTACTAATTAATCCCCAATCAGAAGTCATCAAGTATTTTGCATTCCATCTCTTAAATCATTAGCTATAAATAGCTGAAGTTCGCGTTTAAAAGCTTACACATGGATTGTCCATAGCTTCGATTGATTCACAAAATGTTTAACATCATCATATAGCAGTTCGAACGAGATAATAATCTGTCTGAATTTTTTAGTGATAACTCCATAATTCTAATCAACTCCAACTTTAATTTTAATCTCCTACATATTCTCTCAACACGCAATGAAAAATAAAGGAAAAATAACTGACTAAGCAAGAAAAGGCTCCAAACTCCCAGATCTATGTACGGATCTAACACGAAATGAGAATCCAATTGATTCTATTAAAAGAAATAACTACTAAAATCATGTAAAAGAAAAAGAAAAAGCATACGAGATGAACCGGAGCTTTCATGTTTATGGTGCTTCTTGATGAACTCTTCTTCTATCTTACTAGACTTGTTCCCGTTCATGGCGATATAATCATTGGTTACCATCGAGGTAACCTTAGCAAAAACCCTATCTCGGGGAATTGCGGAGGAGGAAAAAAATAACTGACGGCGGGAAAGAGGGGGAAGATTAGCGGGTCCGGGTACCGTTAGAGGGGAGTCTAGAAAGGTCCGAAAACGACACCGTACAGTCTCAACAGCGAAATGTCCAGATTGCCGGTTTCTCATCTCATCGCCTGGAAGTAGTATTGTTTATTCGTACATTTTCATGGCGAATAGCGACAGGAGTTTTGGATTTGCCCAGGCTGAGTTTTGATAAGGTCAAAAGGATTTTGGACGGACGTGGTTGAAGTCTAAAACGGCTGCGTATCTAGAAGATTTTTCTTTGCGCTGGGTCTTTGAATTGTTGGGCCGATTCTTAAGCCCAAAGTTTCTTTCCAAATGATCTATTTATACCTTCTAAATTCGATTCGAGTTAAATCTAATTTTAGTTTTAAAATTTAAATTTGTTCAAAATATAAACGTTTAATCATGTGATCAAGTATTTATTCAATTTCGAAATCAATTGTTTAGTCAAGCTATAATATTAATTTTTAATTCAAAAACTTTAATTCTAATAAAAAATTCTTAATTAATTTATGAGTTGTTCGAATAAAATATTAAAATTTTTGAATTTAATTGTCAATAGATTGAAACTAGATGGAACCCATTTCTTAACACATTTTGTATTGAGAGTGCCACATATATGCTAAAAATACTCTATTATTTATTATTCGTTGACTTTTCTAATAACACATTTTAAATGAATTTATTTTAAAATCTATATGAAACAAATTTAATAAGACGAAGTAATATAATCGCGTCCAACACACTTATTCAACAACCTATTATATTACTTTATGTAGAGATACAAAGATCAAAGTGATAATACCTCAAAAAATCAGCCGGATATTAAACAAAGGGTAAAACTCTTCTGATATTATTATTTTTATTTATAAAATTTGAATGAAATTTTTTTCTGAGATATCAATAAAAAATATTCAGATAATATTGAACTCTTTATTATTCGATTTTTTTTGAAAAAAATAACAACTAATTATGTTGATGTTTAATAAAGAAAGTAGTGATTATAATACTTAGGATAATTAGCTTTTTGTGAACAAAGAATCATTAATAACAAAAATCCCAATTAATATTAAAGAGTTTTTCTTATAACAATCAATTTACACTTTCTAATGCAGTATTGAGTAAGAAATAAAGCACCTACTTGGCAATCATGCCTGAAGACATGATTAATTTTTTCTCTAGTTTTCTCTCTTATCAGTGAGTCGTCCCCCCCCCCCCTCTCTCTCTCTTTTATCTTTGTTTATTAACTATACAAACTTTAATGTTTATTACCGACGGTTGATATTTTTATTTTTTTTTAATAAATATGTATATATGACACGTTTTATTTTATTTTATATCGTGTTTTTTTTTTTTATGTTTTTCGGCTGTTTAGTTATTTTTCATTTATCTTTTTCTAAGAGTTAATTAGACATTGCCACGACTGATCAATATGACACTTATCTGATGTATTGTCGATCTTTCCTATTTTAGACATTCGGATTGGATTTGGATATCCGTTATGCGTTCGTGGATAGATTTCACGTCGCTCGAGTCTGATTTGCGGTTTGTTGGTGGTCTTTTAATAACTAAATCCCTTTTATGATTCGTTTGCCGATGTGATCTAATATGTTTGTATCTATTTTTTTAAATTTTTGGTTAGATTTTAATTTTCCTTGTATGGTCCTTATGTGATATTTAAGCTTTATTTTTGTTTTAATGATTGTAAAAAATATCTTAATTATGTGTTTAATTTATAATTCTGATTGTAAATGTTTATTATAATGGACGATATTTCATGTTTTAAATAAAATTAGGGATTTCTTTAGAGAAAAAATTACGCTTTCTAATCAAACAGCTATAAGCTGAAAAAAACATTAGGAGAAAAAAAAAGTTGTAATCCTAGTTGGCAAGAAAATCCCATAAGTCAGGGTCAGCATCAAAAGACGGCATTATCGCAAGCAAATCGTCTTCAAATCGTGGTTCATCTACCATCATCATCGAGTAATCATTCGAAACAGAGGCCGGTGAATTCCCAGCTCTCCAAAACCCATCTTCAGACACAGTCGATGACGCCAACTCTTTGCTTAAATCGTCGCTAAAAACCTTAGTCGACAAGGAAGATGAACATGCGGGACGATAGTTGAAATCGCCCTTCTTGGCTTTCTTTTTATCTCTCTCTGTTTTCATCTTTTGACAAATGGCTTCAATCTTGGCATCAACTACGTTCTTGAGAGCATTCAGCTGAGCACAATCTACGAACCCAAACTTACTCGGGTCCTTCAGATTCGGGAAATTCAACCTTGCGTATTCCCCTCTGAGCTTATAAGCTGCTCGATCATATGCCAAAGCCGCGGTTTCAGCTGTTTCGTAAGTGCCTAACCAGACTCGCTTTCTGTTCTGTGGGAGTCTGATTTCAGCCACCCATTTGCCCCATTGTCTCTGCCGTACGCCCCTGTAAAGCTTCTTCTTCATAGGGGTCGGATATTTGCTCGTTGATTCGTGGTTTTGGTGGCTGAATTTTCGAAGGAGATCTCTTTGGTGGTGATAGACTGAAGAGCCTAATGGCTCGTGAACAGAGCTTGTGGTGGCGATGGTGGACGATGAGGGTGAGAAACGAGAGAAGATTGAATCTATGGTGTTTGAGCCTCCTGATAATATGAGCTGTGATAGTGAAGACCCGATATCTGCGTCATTTTTTAACCTACAAACATGATTGCTTTCTTGCATAGTTTCTTCTCCTTGAACAAAACAGAGGAAACAATCATGAACACTCTCACTTTTAGGCAAAAGGAAGTGAAATGGCGATGAAAATAGAGGAAAAGGCTCCCCAAGAAAGGTATGATTCTTGGGTCGGAAAACAGATACCGGATTGTTGGATTGACCCGGAAAAAGCAAATGAGAAACCCAGATTTTGGAAGAGAGAAAATGAAGAAGAACAGTAATAAGAACTTGTTGGAGAGCTTGCAAGAATTTAGTATGGCATAGAGACCTGAGTGTTGTTCCAGCTTCGTGTATTTATAGTTACACAGAAACCTTACATGGATAGACGTTGGTTAAAAATTTAAAATTATTTCATATTTTATTTATATATATATTATTTAATTATTAAAAATATATTTTTATCTCTTAAAATTTTCTAAATTTATATATTTCTAAAAATTTAAAAATTTGTTCTCTTAGCATAAAATCATATATCGGTCTCTACTTTGATAATTTATTTAAAGCTCCAACTTACTTGGATTACTCGTTAAATTACCTGTAAAATATCACCCAAATATATTATGTTTAAAAATAATTTTAATTGGATTTGACAAATGGATCTTAGCTGTCACCCCTAAATGATCAACCAAAACGTTGACTTTGATCAAAGGGGATGTCGTCCGTGCTTTTGACGTATCAAAGTCAAACTTCGTAAGATTAAACTTAGTCCGACATTTTTTTTCTTTTATCACTTATTATTTTTATATATTATTTAAATTATTTAAACTTTTAAAATCAATAATAATATTTAAATTTATTTGAACTCAAAATTTATAAGAAATGACAGTCGATCTAAAACTCAGACTTTTTCTATTATAATATATTTTTTTCTCTTTTGAAAGAAAATTTGCATACCAAATTATCCGAATATATGAATTTCCAATAGTAAAACAAATTGCAAACTATATATATATATAAGGCTTGGTTTTGCTTTGCATGTGAAACAAACCTAACTGTCGGTTAGAAGTCAACGATTATTTGACAGTGTCTTCTACGTTGGTTGACTTTTTTTTAATTTACTCTTATATTTTTTCTTTTTTCTTTTTATCTTTCTTTTACAAGGAGAGTGAAAATGTGATCGTATTACCTAACTACTTTGTCAACCCAATGTTTTGTTTCTGTTTCTAAGGTAATGTGTCCTTTTTCTTACCTGTAAAGTATCAAAAGATGAGTTATAACTAATAATCAATTGATCTAGTAAAATAGAGACACTAGATTCCTTAAGTAAGATCGAATATTCAAATCATGATATTTATGAATAGAATAAATTGGACTGGGAGGGTCATATTCACCTTTGTAGTATTTGATCAAAATTAATCAATTAATAAATCAGATATTAATTATTATAAAAAATATGGAATTATAAACAATCGATTCAAGTGTGGGAAAGGACGAGAGTACCTGCAAGATGGTTTCAGAGAAAAGCATGCATATGAGTGCACGGCCACCGTTAGGCATGGTTACGGGACGAGTCATATATTTTTAGATGATATGTTTGAGTTGGATTGAGTTCGGATTTAAAGTGAAAAGTATATGACTCGACTCAATTTGAAAAATAATGTGATTATATCTTGTATGTTTAGGGATGACTGCAATAATATTTCTCTCTAAATTATTTTGTTCAATTAGATCCTTATTTTATTGAATAAAATTAATATTTCTCTATAAATATATTTATTTCGAGTCAGTCGGATTTGAGTTTTATCTCAAAAGAAGGATCTAACTTTCGATTAGAATGAAGTCACCCTAAACTCAAATTAGATCAACTTTTAAGTGAAACGTAATTTTTTCGAATCGAATCAAATTGACCAAAAAACCATATGATTCAACCCAATCTATACCCATCCCTAAACTCTCCGCCATTTGACACAAGGCGTCGTCTATATTTGAAGATCGCTAAGTACTTGTTTATAATTGTGGAACGTGTAATTTTTGTTAGTTAATACAAAGACCTATATTATTAAATATATATTTTTCAAATGTTAATATATGAAGTTAAGTAGTCTTCTTAAAATTGAATTGAAATGATCGGCGGAAAAGATAAAATATTCAAATAAACCAAATATTCAATTCGACTCGATTTATGTTTGTCCCTATATACAACTGCAATTAAGTTAGTAGTTAAAGTTTGATAAATATAAGAATTTTGTTCATCTTTCAATTAATATTATAGCTTTTATCTTCTAAGGTAATTAATATTAAAAAAATTAAACTATAATTTTTAAAATGTAAATTTTGAACTTCTAAATCTTAAATAAAATAAATGAGATTAAAGATGAAATTGTGTAAAGTACATTTCATATAATTTGTGTATTAAATAATAATCTATTAATAAAATGATAATAAATCACCCTGCTGTACAAATTTAAGTGATGCATGGATAATAATATAATTAATGATGCTGGGGCATTATATCAATAATTATTTTTTTCTCCTCCCGGTTATTCAGAGTTTTTTATGATAAATTTGGATTGATTCTTATCGTATATCTGACTTGGATGAGTAGGTCTTCGAGTAAGGATTTTCTATATACACAGAGTCTCAAATTCAAAATCCTACTTAAACAATATCAAACTGATTATCATTTAATTAATCCTGTTAATTATAACAACTATTTTCCCACATTATTAAAAGTGGATTTGACAGGTATTTTTGCAATTGCATCCTACACCACACAAGTTTTGGGGCTAAGATTCACGTTGACTTGAGGTTTGATTACAAGACTTACGTTTCTTAATGGAGTTTTTATTTTGTCAACTCTTTTTGATAATTGCTTCTCGTGCTGCATTAATTACAAAAAGTTTATAATAATATATCCAAATTCGAATAGGTTGATTTATTACTATTTTAAATATTAATTTTAAAATGTAAAACTTATCATCTACAAACTTTGTTTAACGTGGTGTGAACATTGATGTTATTGGAATCGGATTAAAACCAAATTATACTCCAATTATATTAGGTTGAAAATCGAATTGGATCAAACAATATTGACATTATAATCCGATTGAAATCGGATAAAATTTGATATTTGAGTTTTAACGTCCCAAAGGATTAACAATCTCAGCTCGTAGGCAAAAGCAGGATCAAAATGAACGTTAGAGACGGTTGAAACATAATGGATACAAACGGACCATGTCTTATCACGGTCCGTCCTCGGTGACTTCAATAGAGATGTCGTGGTCTGGTCTTCCATTAAAAAGGACACTTGAGCAGGATATATAACTTATTTAGGGTAGACGTGTGTTGATCATAGAATTTAAATTTTCTTTTATTAGTTATTTATTTTATTGAAAGTACATATTTTAAAGTTTTATTTGTGTTTATCACTTTTACAAAATTATATTGTTAATATATATGCTCGTCTTAAAAAGTATTTTAAATCTATCACTGAGTTAAGTATTTCTTTTTTTTAAATTATTATATATGAACGGTGGACCAGGCCGGTTTGAAAAGTTGGGTTCATCTTGTCCTCTGACTCCAGTTTTGACTTTATGTAAGGATGAACCCTCAAGATTAGGGTTAAGTTGACTTATAATACCCATGAGGGCTATGTGCACCGACGGGCCAACGTGGGTCACTTCAAAGAGATTGATTTATGATGGTCTATAACATTTTTTCTCACTTTTTCAAATATAATGGCCCTGAATTATGATGTTCCCATTCCAACCAAACTCATGCTTTTTTTCCTCAGTGTTTTAAGCTGTGCTCTCACCGTATCAATATTTTCAATATTTTCTTAAATGTAAAATTCACGTACTACTTATATATGATATTTACATGAATATGAATCATCAAAGGATATTAATATGTAAATAAGTTATTTAAATAATCATATTGTAAAAACTTTGGTATAGTGAGCCTTCCCCTTACCCTTTTTTAGTATGGGTTTTCTTTCAATACTTTTGTGTATTTTTTTTCTTTGACTTATATTTAATAAGTGACAACATCAATTTTAATGTTAGCTTCCAACTATTTGGAATTATTAGTTCTCTTGTTATTTTTCATATTATGTCTTTTTTTTTTGAGTTGTTTTTTAAATTTTGGATAAGAATTTCCGGCATCGTGACACATTTTTCTCTGCTCTTGTGGCACTGTTAGTCCTTATAGCTTTTGGTACGTTTTTCGCATACCTTTATTGTCGTTTTGGTGCTCGCACAAAGATTCTCACGATATTTATTTTTTGATCGGTTTATGGATAGTCATGTATAGTTACATCCCTCTTTGGTAAAAAATTGTTTGTTGATATAATCAGAATTATGTAGCGAAGCAGCCTGCAGACAGTTTGATTTACTCACCACTCCTTTATCTATTCGTAAAACGTCTCGTTCGACTAAGACAAAGAGTTTTTGTGAAGGTTATTAAGTTCTTTTGATATTGGTCATCATTCTCAATGGAAAGTTTCATTTTTTTCGTATCTTTGGGTTTAGTATTTTTATTTTTGTATGAGTTGTTTGGTGATTGTTGTTCTCATTTTTCTCTTTATGCTCGAGTGTGTTATAATTTTGATTCATTCCATTATTTTTATTAATGAAATCATGTTACTATTGTTAAAAAAATAATAATCATATTGAAAATAAAATTAACAATCATATTGAAAATAATTATTATAAAACATGATTTGATTAATAATTGAAAATTTTTCGAATCTAAATCAAAATAGATTTAGATAAGATTGATAAAACTTGAATTATAATAAATATGAAAACAACTAATGCAAGATTTACGCATAATAAAACTTGAACCTAACCTCTCAAAATCTTAAAATTTAGTTTACACAACCTTATCTAATATCATTTGTCATATTTAGGGTTTATTATTATAGAATTTAAAATTCAAGATTTAGGGTCATATATTCTAAGATTTATGGTCTATATAGAGTTTAAGGCCGTTAAAATAATTTTAATCAATTTGTGTATCAAATGATTTATCATATATTAAATAACATCTATTCTTTTGAATAATTCCTATTTAGGGGAGGAGAATTTTGCTCAG